CCGTTTAACACCCACGTGCATATTTTTGAAACCCTATCCAATAACTATAAAATATATATACTGTACATATATTAGGGTTAGGGTTAAGTTAGGATTAAATAGGAACATGCTCTATAAGCATGCCCATGCCTGTGCCTAAACCTTAACTACTTGAATGTGTGCTAGGTTTATGGCACAGCAAAATTTTTTTACGTTCGTTTATGTTAGGGCTAGGGTCAGGGTTAGAAATAGTTTACGTAGTAAAATTATTACCTAGTTGCCATTATTAAAAATGGGTTTCTCCTATTTAAATATGCCTAATCAATTTATATTCAGTATTAAGCATACTTTTTACAACTAATTGATATTTAAACCTTATATTCTCATCTTCATAACATAATTTTAATTGTGCTAACAGCTATTCATGTCTTTGTCTAGATTTCATCGTATCTTTAAGCTACTTCATGAAGGATTGCTATTAGAATTGGATCCATCAAAATCAATGTGACCATCAGGGTAAAGAACATATTGATAACTTGGTTTTTTACATATCTCTGATAACTCAACAAGTTTTAGGAATATTTGTTGAAGCGTGGCTCTAATCTGTGGAATCCCTTCCCACGCTTAATTATATGTAATGAAAAATTGTAAATTATCAGCAACTTTAGAATTACATGCAACTCATAAAAATATATACATATCTTACCAGAAATGATGATTTTCTCCAAGCCTTCTTGAATTTTTTATTTCTCTAATGAAGTTTGTCCAAAAGTGATTTTTTCGCGAATACCGTTTATGACATTTATTCTTATTTGATTTTTATCAGAAGTATCTTCATACGGATGCTAGTTCCCAAAGTAACATGCCAAAACTATAATTTTGTGAAGAACATTACCAAATTAATAAAAGGCGTAACAGATAAAGTAAATATCTTTGATATAGTCGGAATTAATGTAGTATTAACCTAAAAATTTCACATTTGAAGTTATATTTAAACCCATTCAATTTTTCAGGTGCCATCCAAGGTATCATATCATCCACCCTTGGGATAGGTATGGTGCTATCTGTTTTGATTTTAGCGTATTGAAAGTTTGATATTTTCGCCCCAAGCCGTGAGGTAATCTGGCATAAAAGTTTATTGGCATAAGAGAACAGATATATAAAGTTACCGATACTTTAAGACTTACCATAATGTTTTTGCATCTAATATCATGGTGAAGAATATCACAACTATGCAAAAATAGCAGACCTCGGCAAATATCTAAAGCGATGAGCGCTTTTAAATCCCAATCAATATCGTTCTTTGTGTATATTTCCATAAGATTTACTTCCACCCATTCAAACACCATCACTTGATAATCGTCTACTTCGGAGAGACCGTAGAATTTTAGGATATTTGGTGATTCTTTCAACTTTTCAAGAATTACCAGTTGTGCCTGAATATTTTGACTATCTAATGTATTGTCAAATTTGACCTTTGTAGGTCTACACGCGACATCATTCCCTAGATATGACTTTCTAATTATAAATTTGTTAGGGTCATCACTAAGACGTCGATAATTAATATCTTTAAATGGTGAATCTTCAAGATTTCCTTGAGCAATTTTATTTATTGTGAATTGAGTAAGCACCTTTTCCATATTATTTGAAATTATCGCGTCTTTAATAATTTTCAAATCCTCAAGAACTTTATTTATCCTTCAGTCTACTATGATCTGCATCAATTGATAACAAGTACTTATTGGTCACTACACGACTAAAACAATATCTTTCAAGCAAAAGTCATGCATCGTTCTGTAATAGTATAGCGAACTATTATAAGAGGTTAACCAAATAACTTTATAGTAGACTTATATTTATATGCCTAAGAAACTTAACCCATTTTGTATATTAACGAATTTATTCTTTATAAATAATAAATCTTTTTTGCTGTCTAAACTTGTATAACAATATATTGGTTTTAATATTTAAATCAAAATATTTTTTTCTCGTTTAATAATTAAATCCTTTTTGATCATGCCTATAATAAAAATCATATATTTGGAGAGTTCTTAAAGAAAAAAATCCTAGTGATAATAACTCAAAAGAGTAAAAAGTTTACTAGTCGTATCCGCATTCATTGTCGGCATATGAGGGTACGAATCACACATAGGTTGAATGGGGTAGTGTTATAGTCAGGTTTAAACAAAATTTCAAGCCTTATTCCTTCATAATACATTTTATACAAAAGCGATTTTACGTAATCATGCACTTTGGAAGCAGTTGGTCTCTTTTCAGGGTCATTGTCCCAGTATTGTTTCATGAGGTTCGTGTATTCTTCAGGAATTCCAGAAACAGGTGGTGGTCTTTTATTTAAATAAGCAATGTCATAACTCAAGCTTTTATCATGTAGCATATTTTTAAAAGGCATATCTTCTGTAATCAACATCCACATAATAATGCCTAGAGCGTAAATATCAGATTTAATTGAATATTTCTCACCTTTCAGAACTTCTGGCGCCATATAAGACAATACGCCATAAACTTTATTATTAGCATGCCCAGATACTGGTCCACTTAAAACCCAAATCGCTCAGGTGACACCGGGTAAAATTTCGTAAATTGTTTTTGATGAAAGTCATTTATTATTTATTCTCTGATGTCAACTTTATTGAAATAGGCTCCCGATGGCGATAAACCTTTAAAATTATTTTTCATCAAACTATCTTGCCCCATTAATTGTTTACAATCGTACATTTTCCAAAACACAAGCTGTAGTAAAAATTGGTGCCATCGCTGCTACGAGCTTAAAACAAGTCATCGAATATGCAGATATTATTTTTACTTCACTTGCTAATGATGACGCTATTAATCAAATTTTTGATAAATTATTGAGTGAATCAGAACTTATTAATGACAAGAAGAAAAAAATAATATTTATTGAAACAAGTACGATTGATCTAACTACAGTTGGTGCACTCAGGGAAAAGGTTGAGAGCGCAACAAATAGATTTTTATTATATTGTCCTGTTTGGGGTCCCCCTGAAGCTGCAAAGGGGATAAAATATAGAAACAAATGTTATTTGAAGTTGCCTATACTAAGGTTGGATCCGGTTTTAATAATTCGGATTTATCACGTGAATTTTGTAATATTAAAATTTATCCTTGCGAAAGCTACGGGCACAACATTTCACATGATTTGTAGGCACAACATCGGCCTGGGTTAGGGTTAGAGTTAACGTTAAGGTAAGTGTATTTTAGTAATGCCGGTCATTGTTGTGCCCGTAAGCACATAGGTACGTGAAATGTTGTGCCGTAGCAATTTTAATAAATTCTAAAAGATCACAAAATTCATGTGATAAACTCGGATTATTAAAACCAATTCTAACCTCTAGCATATACCAAAATACTTTATATTTTTACCATTTTTTTTTCTTAGAATGCACAACTGGCAATTATCACTTCTGGTAACCAAGAGGCAATTGATATGTTACCACTTTTGGTACCTGTATTGGGAAGGAAAATTTTATTTGCCGGTTCGGAAATTCCTAATTTAAATGCGACTATATTCATATGTTTCATCGTTAAAGATGCGCTTTACAATTCTCATTACATATAACATATTAATTCTTTTATAGGCTGCGATGTAAAGAAAGCAGCAAAATTTAAGCTAATTGGAAATTTATTCATTTTCGGTGCTGGTGAATTATTGTCCGAAGGAATTACTTTAGCAGAAAAAACTGATGTTGAAAAGGAAGCGTTCATGGAATTCATTTCCTCCGTGTTTCAACAAATTTTTTTGTGCGCTATGGTAATTAAAATTATTAAATATCAATATCTAAAAAAAGTTTACAAACCTATTTGGGTTATTGCGTAACGTTATGAGTTTTCGGGCCAAATTTCTTAAATTAAATATCGATGTTCAATCAATTTTAATAATTAAGATAATAATAGAATTTTGAAAACTTTGAATGAGAATTGTAGTAAGTTGTTATATAATATTATATAACCAAACTTGCATTAATGGTAGAGTATCTACTCAAGAATATGGTCCAATAAATTATCAAAGTTTGATCAAAAGTTCAATACTCATAACGTTACGCAGTGACCCATTTGATATTCATAGGAACGAAAATAATAAAAGAAAATTTTGTTACAAATGTTGGATTCACTGTTACTAACGCCTTAAAAGATTTAAGGTAGTAAGTTTTTGATTTATACTGAATCTGTAATAATCCTATTTATTAATGAAACATATAATAGGCATATTCAGCGATTAGCAAAAGATTCGGGCGCGTATTTACCACTAGCAGATTTAGTTTATAAAAACTTGAACTATGCAAAAGAAAATTTATCAGATGGAGATAATTATGATTGGAGTTGTATGATTGGTGCTTTGAGAGTTGGTAAATGTTCTCAATTGTTTATCATTATTCGTTAATATTTCGCATTACATCATTTCTTAAAGATTGCTTTTTTCGATTAAAAAGCTTCTGGATTGCCATTTACTAGTAAAATATAAAACAAGAATATAACAAAAGAAATAATTAAGATATAAAAGATTCTATTATTAATTAGACAAATGGACCGATATGTAAAATCCGCAATAAATATGTGAAACCCACAATAATCATGTAAAACCCGCAATTACACGATTACATATTGTGCAACCTCATATAGTTTAGTAATTATGGTTCTTTAATAAATCTCTTTTAAACAAGTAATTTACAGTGAAAAATCGGATTATTGAATTAATCTTTCAATTAATACTGTAATTTTAGTAATTGCTATCAATATAGCGCGGGATCTTTAATAAAATAAAAAAAACTTTTGAATACTACATAATAACTGCTGAAAGCGGACAAAATAATGCTATGAAAAACGACTACAGTAGACTATTGTTGGTCTGAAATTAAGCAGAATTAGATTAATTCGTACAAAACGATATGACTAGAAAATAGTGTAATCTAATTTTTGTGTCTTGGTGTAAAATGAAAATACAATATTTACGTACGTATGTTTAACAGTTATTTTTCATTCATTATGTAGGAGAATATGGTTCAAAAAAGCAGCGTTGGTTTAAATTGAAGCAGCTTTTCCTGCATTATATGTGTTAGCACTAGGGATGGTAAAAAAACGGTTTAAACAGTTTTTTAAACATTTTTTATTGTTTTAAAACTTTTTTTAAACCATCGAAGTCGGAGATAAAACTTTGCTGAAAATGAAAATATTGCTTCCGATTAATTTTAATTGTCAGCAAAGAAATTTTTTTTTAAAAAAACGATGCTATATAATTTCGAATTTATTATATATATTTGATCACTTTAATTTTATTAATTATATTTTTAACTGTATAAATTTGCCATCAGCCAAATACAATCTTTTATTTGGTATTAGTTTTCCGTTTGTAGTATTGAGAGTCCAAGTTTACAGTAATATCGCACTATGTAGACCTCATTAAAAAGTTGTTGCGAATGAATTATTTGAAGATTAGAAGGAATACAATGAATAAATAATTTATCCTTCTCATATTAATCCAATCGCATATGTCACTTGAAATAGAATCATGAACTTTCAATAAATCTCATATTTCGTGGAAGTTTTTTAATCGATCAAGTGAATCAACAGTCTTCTTCGTAATAATTGCATTTTGACGCGACGTTTTTCTACCATGTTGATTAGATTCAGCAATATTTGTAAAATTTAAACGATTTCTTTTAAAGGTGTATCCACGAAC